GAGAGAGAGAGAGAAGAAGTAAAAACCGGAGAAGGAAAACCGAACGTTTTCGATAAGCTTTCCGGTTAGTTCTCAAGTTTTCGATTAGTTTTTCGGTTACGCGACTCGCGATTTCCCGCGGATATAAGCGTTCGTTGTATCCGCGGGATATAGATTATCGGATATTTACCGTGTGGCAGAGAGAGAGAGGAGAGAGTCGCCGATGCCGGGGAGGGGGAAGGGTGGAAATGCGCGCGGGCGAGAAAGCGAGGGCGATGGTGGAAGGGCAAGGGAGAGAAATCCCGGGCACGCCATCGAGGATGCGATTGAGATTAAACGGAAATGCGAGTCTACCTGCCGTCGCGCGCGACCTCGCTTTTATTCGCGTCCTGCTTTGCGACTTGTATGGTTTTGCCTCGAGAGCTACACCCGTATGAAATTGAATTTCAATCCCTCGTCACGACCGACACGACCGGAACAGCCAACTACCACTTTCGACCGGAGACGAAGAAGTGGGACAGCGCCGCGACACGTCATCTTATTGTTCGCGACGGCATCCGCGAGCGAGAAAACTCTCGCGACGCTTCCTGCAAATGGAATGCCGTCGGTTATTTTGTGCTTGTGTGTTAAATCTGCATACCGTAGACCACCCGGTCTCGACCGGATATCCTCTCGGTCGCGTATTTCTTCAGCGTACCTGACGTCGAATTTTCCCCGTCGGTCGAGAGGCCGTCGTTCGTCGGTTCCTTTAATTTAATAGTCGCGTTCATATAAACATGCGAACAAGTAGGGTCGCAAATTGAATCGGTCACTTTACATTTTATCTTTATTTTCTTTTAGAAATTATTAATATTTATCGATGAAACCTGTGCGTGAGAAAAAAATTTAGATTTATTTTAGAATCTTTATTTTCTAAAAAAGAAAGCTTTCACCGATAAATATTAACACAACTCTACGATATTTTATATTTTTATCAATATTATTTTTGTCCTCCGTAAAAACTGAATCTTTTCCGTATAGAATTATGTGATATTTATGAAGAAGAAATTATCACGTGTAAAAATTTATTTTCAACATTTTGGGAAAAATCCATTTCTAGAATGGCTAAATCAGTTAGCTCTATATTATTAAATATGATTCCATAAACATTTGTGTTAGTTAATATTAGAAAAAAAGTTAGAACTATACTTTGTAAGTATAGATTTGCAAAATAAGAGAGTAGCTACCATTCTAGATTGTTCAACAAGTTTCACATACAAGTTTCATATGGCGGTTTGAAATGTCATCATATATAATTTTATCCGCTTGATAACCGAAACAACAACAAAACAACATCACAAGTGGGTCAATTGGTATATACCACCTTGTGATTTAAAGAAATCGTCTTTTTCCAAGTCCTTCGCCAAGCGCCCGGCTAAATAAACGCAAAGTCCCGTGCTCTTAAACAGGTATCGGAAAGATACCTCGGCAATCATTCTTCCGCTGCCGGACGGCCGGCCTAAAACGAAAGTTCAAGAGAGAATACGCTGTGTCAAAGTTAAGCCTGGAACGTGGATTACGTATACTCGCGAAGACGTAGTTAACCCCACGCTAGCACTGATATACTAATTGAATTAGTTATTTCGAAGCAGAAAGTTAAGGGCACGTCTGCGCCAAGTTTTCAACATGAAATAGCTGGCAGAATCGACGTGCTAGCACGCCGAGTTCGAAAGTTCTTATTAACCCGGAAGTTTCGTTCAGTATCGCGCCTGAGTGTTATTTAATTACTAATTCGAAGAATATGTGGCCCCGCGCGCTTTTATGGAGGGACGGGGAGAACTTTTCTCCGATTAATTTCGACGCCCCCGAAGGGTCGGGCATCGATTATTAATAACGGATCCTGGAATGCGCGATGTGCGGAGCGGGAGGGAGGGGCGGGGAGGGGGCCGTAATTTCTGCGGGATTCTCCTATCCCGCCGTTTGTCCCCCGCGAAGGACTGTCCGTTTTAATTACCGCGATCGTCCCTATCAATTTTTTTCACATTTTATTGATTTTATTTATCTATTTATCTTTTTTTTTTCGAGCGCTCTCACCTGCGCGCTCCCCATCCGGTCCTCGCGCTCTGCGAACGTTGTTAACATGAAATGCTGCTTAATGAGGAGATGAATAATTATAATCTCGCGTTAGCCATGACGCGCACTTATCGAGGTCTAATTTGCGCGTGATAACACTCGCGAAATGGATTAGAGGGATTAACAATTCATTTTATCGGAAGCAAAATCCACTGCCACTCGAAGCTTTTCCGATCTCCCTCCCCCACTTCAAACGAGTGCGGCCCCCCTCCCCCTCCTATTCTCCTCTCTTTACAATAAACGCACGAGCGGGGAAGGGATGAGGGAAGCGCACCAGCGGGCGATTAAAATATTTTATACATGTAAAGTATCCTATCTTTGGTACAGCAAATTTTAACGATAAGTTCTTTGATGAATAATGAGTCGATTTTTCTTTCCAACAAGCGAGATCTGATGGATGCAAGTTTCATTCTCAACAGCGAACGATTTTCGCATTAGAGCGAGGTAAAAGACGGTCGGTTAAAGCGGAGTACACTTAAAATTAATCGCGGAAACAAAGATAAGTAAAAGATTTTGCTGTTCATTAACGTCCAGCGGCAAGCTCACCGCCCTCTAATTCAATGAATGAAATATAATCCCATGATTAAGTCTCACCTTGTAATTCCATTAGGAGGGATCCCCGACCCTCCTGGCTCTCGATCTGAAAGGGCTCGGGATTTAATATCCGTCGCGGCGTGAAAACGGCACATCCACGCATCGCCGGAAGAATTGGACTTAGGCGGGGCTCATATGCGCGTGTAAGCTCCGTTTATAGCAAAATATTCGTAACATTCGGAAAATACGTACGGATCGTACGTGCGCACGGTGGATCGGCGCGGAGGTAGTTAATGGTATGCCGGGACCAGTGTTGGGTCATTCCACTTGCGCGGGTAGCATGTATATAGGTTTACAGCGGACGATGATCTCCCACCTTGGTGCAGGAGATATAATCCGCTTTATGTTCGCCTCTCCCCCATCTACGGCGGTAACGCGAATTGTGGTGGTCGCGAGTTCGGTGCCGCGATCGACGAGGCGTAAGTACCGAAAACGTCAGCCTCGCGAATTAAAGCGGATATCTTCCGCGACGTGGCTTTATCGATTAAATCTCCCGCCATCTCTCCGCGAGCCGTTAACGCGAGAGCACATACATGATTAACCGCCGAGGTCCTTCTTCTTCTTCGACGATCGGTCCTCGCGGACCCCTCTCGCCCTCCCCCCGGTCCCCTATTAGCGCGCATCTATCTTTTAAACAGCCCGTAGACGTGACTCGTATAGTAACACGGTGGACCGTAGCTCTCGCGCGAATATTTCATATCGAGAAGAACGACCACTTTTCGAAGCAGTGGAAAATTGAAAACTATAGTAAATAATTAACATGGAGATCGAGAGGCGGCACGGTAGAAGCGGCTTGCACGTACAACGAACAAACTTCATTGAGCGAAATTGTCAATGACTTCGCGAGTTCCTTGTACATGCCATTGGATTTCTTTCATCTACATTTTTCTATTTGATTTTCACTACAACTTTCGAATATCATAACCACCTCCGCCTCGTATGGATATTTCGGTTACGTGCGTCATCGGGCGAGCGACGTTTACGTGAGGCCGGCATTAAAATTTCTTTACGTGAAGGTCTACACGAGGCTTGCATGCCCCAAGTTTTGATATGTTCTCGTCGACGTGATGCCCGAACGATCGCGTGCTGATTGGACGGCATTTGTCGGGCTACTGTTGGACCGCTCCCACTTGCAAGATCAAGAGTACGGAATACACTGATTGCAGACTTGTAGCCCGGCGCCGTGGAGTTCTACCCCGGTCTGGTCCGTGTTTGCTGTCTGCTTGTTGAAAGTTATCATCTTCTGAATGAAGTTTGCACTTTTCCGCGCACGTAAGAGATCATCACGATTCCGAAGGGCAAAGAGAGGCAGGAAAAGAGGCGGCGGCGACGACGGCGAGTGTGGAACGGGGCTGTAATTTATGACGTGAGGAATCGATGGTGACTCAACTGATTTGCGACTTATACTTTGACGGGCTATTTTTAGATTTTTGTATATCGCCGATAAGGCGCACGGCAGAATGTAATTAAGTGGAGAGACCGGGAAACGGATAGCAATCTTATATATTGTAACTTATATCTAAGATATATACATTGCTTTTATAGTTCTATTATTTTCGGACAAAAGAATGTTGAATGGGAAATGGAGTTATAGATCGAACGTAAATATTTGATGAGTTCCATAATATTAACTTTTATATTTTTATGATATATATGCGAGTTTTTCTATATATAGCAAATATATTTAAAAAAATAAATGACTCTTTCATAAATAATCAAACATTTTATTTTTCCTCTTTCTAATATAGTAAAAAAATTCTTATCTCATTAAAGACTTTTACCTTGAGAAAAATATTCAGTATCTTCAGATTTGTAAAATAGAAAAACTTTCAATTATTATCCGTATGATAGGAGATATTATATTTCGATTTCGCGAGCTTTATAAAATGCAGAGATAAGAGAATTTACTTGGACAGCATCGCGACATCCAGAAGCCAGTCTTTTTTCTATTTGTGCCATTTTACTCAGTAAATCAATCATTATTGGATCGGGGAAATCAACTGAAAAGAATACTTATTAATAAAAACTACAAATATTTTACGCATATATATATATATATATATACATAATACAGTACGTACTTCTAATTACAAATAAGTGAATTTCTGTCAATATGTCTTGTAATGCAAGTCCTTTGTTTAACTTAAGCTCTTGAATTTCTGCATAATATACATTAAGGATTACATAAAATTTAGGTAAAAATATTGTCTTTTAAATTTCTGTCATAAAAGGATACTTTTGTAACATGTGTCATAAGACTCGTTTAGTAACCAGTTTACAATTTTACTTATGTCACTTGGTAATGGATGTCCGACACAGTTATACACATTTTCTTGATTTACCTCGCCATAAGCAAACCATGTACTTTGAAGTACACTTATTACTTTCCTCATATCTCCGCCACTTAATGTCATTAATGCTTCCTTTCCACTTTCTGTAACTTTCAAACTAAAGACTTTTTTATTAGTAAAAAATGTTAGGACAAAAAGAATCATTAGATTAGATAAAGCTTAAAATAAATCTTCACTCACTTCTCTGCTTCAATTACATGATTCAATCTTGGCATTATTTGCTCTGCTGCGAGAGGCAGGAATCTAAACCTGGTACAACGAGACTGCAAAGCTGGGATAATCTTACTAAGATAGTTGCATATAATGCAGAAACGTACATTATCCGTATATTTTTCAATGACTGGAAAAAACAAAATATAAATGTTCTGTAAACATATAAATATGAAAAACCTTCATGACCTTACTTCTTCTGAGTGCGTTCTGAGCATCGGTCGTCATTGCATCGGCTTCATCCAGGATGATTAATTTAAATGCAGATTTATACATGGTACCCGTACTAGCAAAGCTCAGAATTTGGCCTCGAACTATACCTATACCTCTGTCATCAGACGCATTCAATTCCAATACCTAAATACACAATAAATAAAATAAGAAACAAGAACTAAATGAGAAGACATGAAATTATTTCGATGTTAAATAAACAACCATCGAATTGAATTGAGCTGGAGTATAGAGTTTACGCGCGCACGCTAGTATAGTACTGGTCTTGCCTGTCCCAGGTGGTCCGTATAGGAGAAGATGAGGCAGCTGATTCTCATCGATATACTTGTTAACTGTAACAGACAATTTTCCTCTTTACCGCGCCATACAACGCGTCCACACACGCGTTACATTATTTACTTACTCGTTTTTATTATTGTCTCGTGGGAAATAAGTTCGTCCAGACTTTTGGGACGATATTTCTCGACCCTGAAATAAAGGAAGGTTTTTTTAGCACCGAAGAATGAACGCATTGAAGCGACACTTCGAGTAAATCGTACTCACCATGGCAAATTCACGAGTTGTTCGTCGCTGGATGTCATCGTATCGTAAAATCGCCGGCTCGCGATCAAACTGCGACTGCGATCAGTTTGAACGACTTGGAGGTTATATTTATGTCGCGCGTCGTTCCCCCCCCTCCCTCGTCCCGGTCAATCGTGCGCCAATATGGCGTTTGACAGTTGGCGAAATAGAACCCGATCACGACACGCTGCTACGTGCTTTGGAAACGTGAATTGTTCCGATTTGATCTGTTTTATCTGAGTTCTTTTCTCGATAGAATTGCATTAGTTCATAAATAAACGCGATCATTAGATATCAATAAGGTATCGTTTTTCAAACTTAATAAATTAACCTTCAACTGTGGAGTTTTATTTAAAAATAAATAAAACTTTATTCCGTGCACGATTAACGGTGAAAGATATAAAAAATACAGCTGGCGCGTATGTATGTTCACTGAATGTGGAATATTTCTTTATTTTTTTTTTTAGGTTTAAAAGTTATTTTTTTATGTGTAAAAGTTGGAGTCCACCGCATTCGCCAGCGTATAATAAAAAGTATAACAAATAGTGAAACGGTTAAACATTAAACTATGCGAAAGTGTCTAATTGTGTTTTACAATTTTTTACATATTTTTTATCAATAGTGGTATAATCTTGATATAATAATAAATATTTTGCACGATAGAGGATTTACTTTTGCAATAAACTCATTTACATCGATTAAACAAAGAAGTAGAGAGATCACTAAAGACAAAGTATAAGAGTAAATAAAGAACATATCAGCTTGATCTAAAAGTATTTATTTTGTTTAGAAATCACACAGGGACATGATCTATTCGTATGGGATATCAATATGGCTCACCGAGTTCTTCGAAGGTATCCCAGAACGATGATTAATCGTTTCCGTGAGGTAACGCAGAAATTTGAGTACCTCCTTGTAATGGACTTTGAGGCCACGTGCGAGAAGAATCAGGTACTCAACCCACAAGAAATCATTGAGTTACCATGCGCGGTACTGTCCACTTGTGATTGGAAACTGAAGGATGTGTTTCATACCTATGTAAAACCGAGAGTCCACCCTACCCTCACGCCATACTGCACAGAATTAACTGGAATCATGCAGGAGACTGTGGACAATCAACCATATTTCGTGGACGTGTTCTCAAAATTCTGCGAATGGTTAACTAAGGAAGGATACTTCGACACACCTGAAAAAAGCTCATTCGTCACTTGCGGTAATTGGGATTTAAAGATCATGTTGCCAAGTCAGTGCGAATTGGACGGCATTATTCTACCGGATTATTTTAAACAATGGATAGAATTAAAGCACACGTTTAGCGAATCCACCGGATATTATCCAAGGAGCTTAAAGAACATGCTTGCGCGATTGAATCTTCCGTTAAAAGGACGTTTGCATTCGGGCATCGACGACGTGTATAATATAATTTCGATAATACTAGCTTTGAAAGAAAGATACAACACACAGTTCAAAATTACCTCGTCGTTAGCAACTTCTGCAATAAACTTAAACAATTACAATCAAATTGAAGTAAGGAGAAATGTATTGAATAAAGAAATGTGATAGTTTGTTAAAAATTAGGCTTGCATTCATAAAATCTCTTTTGTAAAATTCTTCAATTATGATAATTACATAAATAAATATCGTGATTATAAAAAAATTTTGATTATTGTCGTTTCACAACAACCTTAATCAGTACGTCCTGTTTACTATTCTCTGTGTAAATCTCAAGTACAGCCTGCATGTTACGTTCTATCTTCTGAGAACATTGTATCTTTAAAGGAAAGCTCTTTTTACTCGGTAACATTCCTTCCGCGGGAACAACACTGAAACAATCTGTATTTGACAGACTGATTTGAAATGGTTCAGCTGTTTTGAAAAAGCTAAGAACAGTTACAGTTGCTTCATTCTGTATTGGAGGATTCAGAATGATGGTGGACGGAGTTACAGTGAATTGATTTTGTAATTCAGGATGTTGAACTTCATATTCTGCCATAGTTCTGTATAACAAAAAAATATTTAATATTTAATCAGAATAACAAAATATTTAATCAGAAATTTTTGTGTTAATATTTCGTCAAAAGTTAATTATCACATACAGATGTTTAATATACAATAAGAAATATATACGTAAAATCCCTCTTACTGAGAAGCGAAAAAACTTGCTCCACCTGCCTCATCTACATGAGTAGTGTCACTTATTAGAGACTGATACATCTCTGATTCATCGGTATCATAATGTACAGGTAAAGTATCGTCCGCGCACGCTTCTACTGTGAGCATTATTTCGTATTGATGAACACCGGTGCACAAATCACTTAGATTTTGCTGTGTAAATGTATGTTGTTACTGTGTGAATGATATAAAATCAAATAACTATGTTTACTTACAATTGAATCGCGAATTGATGTTAAGCCAGGGATTAGTTGTTCCCCGGGGAAAGCTTTACATATGGGATACACAATATTCCTGAGTGCCTCATTTTCATTTCCACTTGATTCACCTAATTCTCTTATTTTATTGTACAATCTAAAGAGTATACGTTTGTCAGCAGTGAAGATTAACACTAAATATCAATTTGTTTGATAAGTCATGCATCTTTTACCTGCGTATCCGCCAGCGAGTCGGCTCATCTCCGTAAGTGACATTTATTGTCGCGACATGCGAAACTTCCGAACGTTGCAATAATACAAAGTCTTCTTTCTTGGGATGAAATTGTATTGTTATTCGCTGGGATTCTTTAGGATTAAGTATCACTTCTTTTGGACTTATATGCCAACTGGAATGCATTGATGGAGAAATAACTGAAATATATACATATGTAAGAAATTAACTAGCAGGAAAGTCAGCATATAAGCAATAAAGGACCATAAGCAAGGAGATTGGAAACATAAACAGAGAAGCCATGTAAATGTCGATAGTGAACGAAAAATCCTGAGTTCGAACCCAATCGTTAATTTTTTCCATTTCCAATATATATTCCAATATATATATATTGGATATATATATATATATTTATCTCTGGGCTGACTTACTTAAAATGTGTTTTATAAATAGAATAATAGAGAAATTAATTTAGTCGAACCTTTCGGTACAACCGTCACTTTGGCAAATGAACATAAATCGCCAATGTTATCTAATGAGATATTTGCGTTCAAAGTCGTAGTTTCAGAATACAGATTACCCAGTGGTAACCACATTTTTCCACTGGCATCTTTAAATGTACCCGAGATTTTTACCTTGCTCCAACCACCATATCCATACAAAGGTATCTGTCAATATAAATTATGAATGCTTCTTCTTTAAATTCGTTACAATTATTTAGGATCAATATACGTACTCTTTTCTGTTGTTGAGAATCATTACTCTCTTTTGTATAATGTTTGATAGTAATTTTTCCAACTACTGGACCTATACAATATGGACTAAATGCGATTGTCAATGTCTTAATTTCTTGACGTTGCATCGCCAATACCATGCTTGTATTTATAGTTTGTCTCTCTCCAAGAAACTGTAATATAGAATATTTAATGTATTTATTATATTGACAATATAATGACAAATATTAATGTGCTTAAAAAAATGAGATTTCATTAAAAAAATAAATAAATAAATATAAGTAAATAAAATTATTGTCTTATTCTGTATATGCAATACCTTAAAACTCTTGCTGTCATCACATATATCTATTTGAATCCTAATTTTATTATTACTTGTATTGCGAATCGTAAACTCCTTAGTATCACTTTTTCCTGTCTTTACACTGTTCCATACTAGGGCAGCATGTGTAGCTCTAATCGGAATTATATTTCCTGCTACGGCTACACTTGATACTGTACTAATTGGAGAATTTCTGTCACAAAGTCCAGACCTATATATGAATTTAAATTTATATATTATTTATTATTACGATAATAATTATTAGTATATATAAATCTTTTTCTAACTTGTTAGAGATTACACTTTGTGGCGACGTTGCAGGACTTGGAGACACCACATTATTAGGTGTATGGCAACGTATATAATTTTCTTTTTCTGATTCTGATGATTCGGTACTTATAATGTAATGATAAACATTATTACCAGCAACTAATTTGATCTTTGCATATCTGAAAAAAATAATGTTGAAATAACGAGAAAATGAAAGTGAGAGTGAGAAAGAGAGAGAAATCAATTTACAAAATGATCATCACCTTTCATTATCTACAGAGTTTGCATCTAAAAATTGTGGTTTATACGCAATCGTAAATGAATTTATCTCCCCGACATGCAAGAATATGTTATCCGGTTTTATAGAAAAATCTTGCATCATGTTTGGATGCCCATCCATTGGTATAATGGTAGCGGAAACGTTAGTTGCCATGGTTCCCGAATTTATGATATTTATCAATTTATCTTGCTGTCTTGGGACAACTATAGGTAGTTCTGTATTTATGATCTGGATTTTATAAATACCTATTTGTATATAAAGGGGTATTTCTTTTCTAAACAATACAGTATCATCCTTACATTGTACTTGTATTATTAGTTTGTTTTTCCAATGTTGCGATTGTCTTTGCGGAGAATCTATTCAACAAAACTTTCTTATTTCTGATAAAAAAAAAACAGCCTATATATGAAGAATGTACAAATACCAATATGCAAAAAAATGCTTACCCACTAATGTAGATTGCGATCTTTCACACTTTATATTAGTAGTAAATTTTTCATGTGGTTTTATTAGATACATTGGTTCTTCAATACTAAACATTTTTGGTCCATCCTACAATAAGTAAAAGGAAATTAATTAGTATACAATATATATTGTTTTAATTATCAAGAATATTTCACATCTTACATGTAATATAGAAAGATTAACAGGTACATCAACATTGTTTTTGTTATGAAATGTTATAGGTAGAACTTTTGATGTCTCTTCCGCAATATATTGAAAATCCAATTCCTGTTTATCAGAGTGGCATATGATATCCAGTTGGAGTTCTTCCGAGGTAATATAAAGCATATGCTTCATAGACCATTTTGATTTTGCCACCATGTCTGATAAAGATATATTTAATATTACGAATACTGGTTTGCACATTTTTACTACTTTCATTTCAATCTGAAAAAAGTCCAATAATTATTGAGGCAATTAGAACTAATTTTCAGTTGATTATGAACATACCTTTGCAGATTGAATCCCCTTAGGTTTTATTAAAATAGCTTCCGAAGGTATGTTTAGTTCAATATTTTCCCCATCTCCCGACATATTAAGTAATTTAAATGTACATGTTATCCATCTATTTCCATTATTTATAAGATCAATGTTAGCTTCATTTATCATACCAACAATACAGTTGCACGACTGTTTCGAGTTTTTGCCAATATCGACATCTTCTGAAAAATTATACAAAAAGAATCTATATTTATCACATATTTATCACATATTTGTCATACATCTATTAAACAAAATAAGTTAATAATTGAATTATACCACTTAGATCATGCTGCATTTCTATATCTGTGAATACTGAGAGTAATGAATTTCTCATACTCTCAGTGGTATCCTTTTTTATCATTTCTTTGCTTTGTATATTCAAATCATTATAGCTTTCTTCATCATAATTCTTACTGTTCATTTTAAATGGCACTGTAGATAATACAGATAATTTGTCTGGTAAATTACTTGGTATGGAATTTCGTAAAGGAAATATAAAATCTGATGTTGACGATACTTCTATTTGTTAAAAAGCCATATATTAGATATGTCATGAATAGAAACATTATATTATGCAATAAAGAATAAGAAATAACAGATATAGATAGTAAACAGAAATGTTTCAATTTATGTACCTATATCTTGATTATATGATGATGTTGGCACTTCTTCTTTGCACACATCTATGAAAGTTTCAGCTTCCTTTGTATTTTTATTTGAAGGAAGTAACAGTGCTCTCATACGTTCATGTTTTATATCACTATTTTCATTTTCAGTTCTGCTATCTAGCGATAATTTAGCTGAAAAATTCTCTGCATTAATATCTTCATCAAATTTATTTGAATTTCTAGTAGGCATTGTTATTATAGACTTTTTATTAGAAGGCAATCTATAAGTTTCTTTTCTTGCGCTATCTTGTATTGCTGGATTTTCTTTCTTCTTTTGTGCTTTTAAAAGCTGATCAACCAATCTCCGTGGTGTCTCGCTATTAACATCTTGTAAAGTATTAAGGATAGTATTTAAACTTATGACGCTGTTCTCATCTATATCTTTTGTTGCACTAGGAGTAAGCAAATACTCCTTTTCTATCAATTTTGCTGGCAATGGAGTTGCATCTGTCAAAATAGTCGACTCAACTAATACTGGTAATTTGCCACTTCTTTTTGGAGTTTCAGCAATAACACCAAGGCTTGCTTTGTCCCCAATTGTTCCCAACAATCCTATTTTATCAGATTTGCGTTGGAAGTATTGGCCAACAGATACTTTTCGTCCAGCACAAGATGCTATTGATAAATCTACTTCTCCAATGATACCAGAAAAAGAATCAATATCTATTTTTTGCTTTTCTGTATTCATGCCTGGTATGCAATATGTATGATCTTGTTCGCAGCAAGCTTGATCAAACGACAGCTGTTCAGCCATTTTTGAGCCAGATAAAAATTCTTCATTATTGATCTCCACCATTACCTCATTATTAAACTGTGCTATTATATCGCTTTTACTGAAGCTAATGCCACCAAAAGATTTGTTTACAAGAGAATGTTCCTTAACACTATTATTGACACCAGATGAACGTGCTGTTATTTCATTAGGTTCAAAAGTAACACTAGTCGTGCTGACTTTACTCATCAAATTATTCACATTGCACTTTTCTAATTCAGACAAATATGTCTCAATTGGTAGACCAAAATTTGAAACTGACATATTACCAGTAATATTTTGCATATTAACGTTATTCTCCTTATTCATATCCGTGGTTAAAGAATTATTTATATTGCTACATCTCTGAAGAAGTTTCCTGGCACATTCCAGTTCTGCATCAATATTGGGATAAGTCAATTTTTGTTCCTCCTCTGTGCTTAGACTTGTGAGAACTGACATGTTTTTAAGAAGACCTAAGGAAGTATCTTCTCTCTGTGTCAACTTATGTGGCAAATCTTGCTTGTCTTTCTCTTCTCTTACGTGTCTGTCGTTAAATCTACTCTCCATCGCGCTTTTTGTTCTTCGTACGGTCGACGTTGCCTGCGGTTGCGGCGTGTTTACCATCGTGTCGTTCAACACACCCTGGACCTTGGGCTTAATCGGCGTGAACATTGTGGCGCCCTTTGTTCGCGGCTACGGCGACGATTCAACTGCTAATTCGTAGGACGGACGATTCAGCGTTTTCCCGTCATCCCGCAACCGCGAATCCGTGAATCCTCCGCAGATCCGCTCGACTTCGATTCCACTTCGAACGTTAAACAATAACAGTCGATCGATTTTGCAGTTCAAATTTGAAAAGTTCTGGAGATCACTGACGATTGGACACGAACTTGAAGCTCTGACGTTGTTATCATTTCTCACCGAAGCCGTAATTGTTAATCCATCGCCATCTGCTGGCGAGCGTTATTACGAAATTCGACGGTAAAGTCGCGTTCCCGGAACTCGATAGTTTCTTTCGTTCCTTTTGAGGTTCTTCTTGCGCGTTTCGCGAAAACAAAATTTCGCGGATTCGAGATCTTCGATTCTCCGAACTTTAGAGATCCTGCAATTTAGGCCTTAAGCTTGTATCAGATTACTGACTCTGAAAGTTGATCTAATTGTCGATTTTTAGTGGACCAATCACAATGAAACGTCGGTTGACTGGATTGGTCAATTCACGTTTAAATTCTATTTTAAAATGATTGGCACCGCAACTTTCACCGCGCGGACCCATGAAAGCGGCCACTCCAGCCTTTTTTATAAAGACCGAAGAAAATTTCATATACTTCCGTCTATATATCTATTTTAGAATTTGGCAGTTGTAATAATTCACATTGCTTGCAATTGATGCAACAGAAATAAACAAATGTATAAGCGGACATTGAAGAGAGGAAGAACGAGAAATCCAGGTGCAAAAGGTGCAAATGCAACAACTCTTTAGTGTCGGTCCATAATAGGTGATTTAAGCTTTAAGAAGTAAGAAATTGACCAATTATAATCGAATATGAAAAAAATACTCGACTATGATTGGTCAATTTCTTACGGCTTAAAGATTAAATATTTATTGTGGACTGACACTTAAAGAACAAAGAGACTCTGTAAAGAGACATGAGGCCTGTTCTTTTTGGCCAACTAGTTATACTAGTTTACAGTTTATCTTTCTTTCTTACACTGGAAGAAGAAAGATAAACTCTGAACTGGTGCAGTTAAAAAGAACAGACCCATGATGCATGCAGGTGCATGGATGTAAACATAACCTTTTTTGATCTGTGCTGAAAAATGACGTGTGCTTCCTAATTTCATGGTTTATAAATATATTTCAATTCTATTTAGTTGGCAATCAATTAAGCATAGCATAAGCTAACATTTAACTGGGATAAATTACGCTTGGAATTGAATTTTGTTACATTCATGTTAGAGCAAACCATAGAAACACGGTAAGTAATGAAAATTAGATGATCCTGGCGTAATTTATTTATTTTGGATATCCTGTGAGACAAACGAAATTTTAATGTAAACGTTATGACTTTAAGAAGTTGACATAATGTGCGAAGCAAATATCACGGAGACAGCCAGCATTGCGGAGAATGAGAAAAATCCATATGCATATCTCGAAAGGGATGATTTTACATCTGAAAAGTACAAAATAGAAGTGCGTGGCTTACCTAAATATTATGGAATTGGCGAGTTCAAGAAACTATTGAATGAAAAGCTGGATTTGCAATTGTGTAAGGTAAAGCCACCCAGGAAAAGTAGTGGTTGGCTATATGTATGTTTCAGAAGTGAGGAGTGTCGTCAACGAGCGATAACCAGTATAAATGGAATTTTGTGGAAAAACAGTAAACTTACCGCGCAGGTATTTTGGCCTCTTGTTAATACTTTTATCTAAAGTTGAGACAGTAGTAAGTAATAATATCAACTTTTATCTTTTCTTTGATAGGTAGCTAAACCTGCTCCAGATCCCTTTGTGAAAAGAAAACTAGAAGAAGAATCTAATAATAAGCGTTTAAAAACTAATGCTGAGGATCCAAATTGCTCTCCTATGGATAAAATCAAATTTATTACCACACCTTTATGGAATATGCCATATACAGATCAAGTAAGGTGATATTATGTTCTTTTTAAGAAAAATGTCAAAAAAATATAAGCTATACATTTTTAGCTAGAACTTAAACAAAAGGAAATGAAATCTATCCTGATAAAAATTGGCCATCAAATGGTTAAAGAAAGTAAAGCTTTAACAGATTGGGTGAATTCACAAAAGAAATTGTATGATGGTTTGCCTTGTAAACTGCAAAATATACTTTCAACAAATATTACAGAGGCATATAGAAATAAATGCGAGTTTACGATTGGTGATTATCTGTTGATAGATTTATACAAGGATATATAAAAATTTATTATATAAAAATTTTATTAAATTTAACGTATATTATTTAATTTGCATTATTTATCATGATACAGGTAAAGACAGTGAACAAAGCAAAGTTATGATTGGATTTAGATTATCAAGTTATGCTTCGGGTTCTACAGCAGTTGGACCTATCGATGATCTTTGTCACATTCCTGAAAATATGAAGGTTGCTGTCAAGGTAAATTTTAATTATCCATCATTTTACGTAATAAAAATAGTCTTAGGATTTACAAGATTTATATTTCAGATATTAGAAACATTTATACATGAGTCAAATTTAGAACCTTTTAATCCAGTTGATCATAGCGGATATTGGAGGCAAGTTACCGTTCGAATCACTCGTGCTAATCATTTAATGCTGATAGTAGGTATACATCCTCAGGATTTAAGTAGCGACGAATTGAAAAAGCTGAAATCACAATTAAAAATATTTTTCGAAACTGGGAAAGGTGTCGACGCTCATGTCACTTCTTTGTACTTTCAGACAATAGATAAGAAGTAAGTAGATATATTACACGAATGAAGGTAACAATATACACATATATATATATATATATATATATAT